AGACAGACAGACACACAGACACACAGACAGGCAGGGACATAGATACAGGAACGTACCCTCTTGGTGAGCTGTGTATCCATCATGAAGTAATGCACGTGCTTCTCTGCACGACTCAGCTCCAACTTCCGGGCTATCACCGCCACCACCAGTGCTGTGCAACCCGCACCCTGAGGACAAAGGTCAAAGGTTAAATTGGACAACGGTCAAAGGGGACAAAGGGGGTTAAATAAAAGTTAAATATTGACACATGAGGCGAAGTAACGGTCAAAAGGGGTCACATGAGGTCAAACAACTATGAAAAGGGGACACAAAAAATGAGGCCTAACAAAGGTCTAATGGGACAAATGGGGTTAAACAAAGGTCTAATGGGACAAATGGGATTAAACAACGATGAAAGGGTACACATGAGGCGAAGCAACAGCCAAAGGGCAAATGAGGTTAAACAAAGGTGAAATGGGACACATGAGGTCAAACAAAGGTGAAATGGGACACATGAGGTCAAACAAAGGTCTAATGGGACACATGAGGTCAAACAAAGGTCTAATGGGAACAAATGGGGTTAAACAACGGTAAAATGGCACCAATGAGGTTAAAGAAAGGTAGACAACTTACACAAGAGGCAAACAACGGATAAATGGTGCCACAGACAACGGTCAAACAGGACAAATGAGAGAACAAACAACTGTTGAAGGAGACAATTAGCGAGACCAGTCAGTGGTTAAAGGGGACACATGAGACCAAGCAAGGGTCAGAAGGGAAACATGAGAGAACAAAAACGGTTAAAAAGGACAAGTGAGACCAGTCAGTCGTTAAAGGGGACACATGACACCAAGCAGGGGTCAGAAGGGACAACTCGTGAGACCAAACAACTGCCAAAATGATACATGAGGCCAAACACATTGTTAAATGTTCGAGAAGATTCATTAAAAAATAAATCTAGAAAAAATACCACAACAACAACAACAACAACAACAATAATAACAACAACACCAACAAAACTTTGGAAGACATTGTCGGTACGTTGTTAAGATATTTTAAGCTCAACATTTTGAAAATATTTTTGTTAATTGCTTTTTTAATTCCTGGTATCGGTTGCATGTGGTATAGAAATGTATTTTTAAATCATATAAATGAATCTTAGTACTCGCTTCTCACTGCTATCCACACGTGCCCCCCCTTTCCCCAAAAAAGTCGGGTTTTGATTAGGACATTTTTAAAAATTCTGCTGTTAAATTTGTTGGTTTTATCAAAGTGGTTAGTGCAAGTTAAGGAAACATTAATTTAAACTTTAAAATACATCATTATAGACTATTTTACGAAAGAATCTAGATTATAAAAGTCCATTTCCCAAAGATAAATGAATAAGTTCTTGTCTCCGTCTCTCACTTTCGAGATATCTTTTAGCGAGGATATTGGGCTAGTAGTAGGACGTTCTTATAAATAGTACTATTATTATGATCTTCTTTATTCGTTTTCGAGTTTGAATGTGAATTTATGTAAGTTTGAAAGTGTCGGAAGAAAGTACTTGCAGAAAGTATTCGTAAAATAGAGATTTAAGTATGAATTCGTCGTTCTGGTGGCACGTCTTCTCAAACCCGGATAGATGCTCGACACTGCCGCAATGTACATAAAATTGGAAAGTTACGACATTGTGCATTACCTGGAAACTTTTCTAGCTTAGAATCTCGAAGGATTGGACATTAAATTTTGTCCGAATCAAAAAAGCAATAAATCGGTCTGATACGTCAAATGTGCAAAGAGCAGGAGAGACAAAAAAAGACCGATAAAGTGAAGTTATTCCAACTAATTGCTTGCAGTTTGCTTCACCAGGCTTTGTCTACCTGAAACTGACATACGAGTGATTTACACACACACACACACACACACACACACACACACACACACACACACACACACGCACACATACATGTATAATGTGTACACTCTTTGTTTTGTGCTGCGGAACACACGAAAGAATCTAATCAAAGCTTTAGTATGGGGTAAGATTGGAGGAAGTTTCAGTTTATGTCTGCTCTTGGAATTAGTAAATTGTGGAACTTGTCCAGTGAATGCGTGCAACCGAATGCCAGTAATTATTTCCAGCAATTTGTTAATGTGTGTGAGTTAATGTACTACCTGCTTCTCGTATCATGCCACGGAAATAGTGTATGTTTTAGATTTGAGTTAGCAGTACCTCCACACAGTAATTGAAATCCCGCGAGTGAGCTCCCAATCTTTTCCCCCCACGTACTTTTCTTCTTCTCTTGCAATTTAAAAAAAATGCAACACATCTGGGACGTCACTAATGTGTGTGTATTTCATAAACATGTACT